CACACACACACACACACACACACACACACACACACACACACACAATGAGGGTACAGAATGCCCTTCATCTTTGACTGGAGCCGGCTAATATCTCTGTGATCTTTTGTGCTATCCTTCTGAGTATTGAATGTTTGTTTCTTATAATTACAATTAATGCCACGATTTAGCGTGTACATTAACACTATAAAATAATTACCATGTTATTTAAAAAATAATTACACTCTAATTTCAGTATCCAGGTCATCAGTCTGTTACTGTACTGCATCAATAGCATTTTGATGTATCCAATTCTTGGCCATTTCTCTCTTTAGGTTGTCCAGTTGCTCTTGTGTGATCTCCTGTTGGTGATGAGGACCAACGTGTGGCGCCTGCAGCAGCAGGGGGCCGGTCCTGCGGGGTCAGGGTTGGTGGGCACCAGCGGCCCTGCGGGGGTCCACCAGGCCTCCCCACCGGAGCTCCAAGGCTTTCAGCAAGATCTCAGCTCCCTACGCAAACTGGCACACAGCTTCAGGCCTGCCATGCGGAGAGTACGTACTGCAAAGTTTAAAGGAAATTGTATTGTTCATTTTGTCTCGACTGATTTCTAATTTGATCTCCTCTCACTCTAACACAAAAGCAGACATCCAAACACAATTGACAGACACAAAACAAGATGAATACACCAACTCCTGTGTTTTTATTGTCAAGCACTGAAAACCATGACTAATCATGCAAACAAAAATTCAATAAATATAAAAGTTTATTAAAAAAATAAAAACCATGACACATAAAATCCTCATAAACCGATTTTTAAAGTATCGAGGCACAGGCATCAAGGGCTGGAATGGCAAACAGTCAGCCAAAATGGCAACACATTAAGAGAAGTGCATAGCGTCCTGTATATACATCCAAATACTTCCTGTGCACATATTTGCAGGCAGGCCACGGTGCAGTTCTCTGTGGAAATGAGATGGGAATTGTTACAACACACATATATATACACACACACACACACACACACACACACACACACACACACACACACACACACACACACACACACACACACACACACACAGACATTTGAAAGACAGGTTAAAGCGTGTGCAAAAAAACAAATACAAATAAGTTGCAATTCCAACACTTTTCTCCACACACAGTCAATAAGTCGTACTGTATAAGCAGTGGACCAGAGTGTGTGAGGCATGGGAATGTGTGTGTGTGTGAAGCGGTGACTCTGAGCGAGTGAGTAATGTATAATCTGCAGAAGAGCACGTTCTAGTGGTGTGTTCAGAGCACAGCAGTGCGGCTCAGCGGGAGCAGACTGACTCTCAGTCTGTCGTCTGTCGCTGCTTCACCCGAGCAGCCGGCCTCTTCTCACACACTGCCTCTCACACACACACACACACACACACACTGAAATGTCTCTAAGAGCAGGCTGTCTTTTCACAGCAACAACAAACACTCTCCTCGTCGACATCGCCGCTACATGGNTTTTTTGTATTGGTTTTTCAATTGAATTATACTTAAAGTTCAGGGTAATCAACTGTTAAAAACATACTACACATTTTCTTTTTCAATAAATGGATGTTTTCAAAGTAAATGGATAATCATTTTTAATAATCGTGATATCAATTATTGACCCAAATAATCAAGATTATGATTTTTGCCATAATCGAGCAGCATGTTATGATTTCCGTGGAAAACATATATTCAATTTTTCTGGAATTTTTAACAATAATGTAAGGAATATTCTTGAATTTAAAAGTTCTCCTTGAATTATGCTAACTAATTAGCAACATATATACTACAAAATATTTCAATATTTGAAATCAACCATTTGTTTGTTCGTTTTGTATTTCATGGCGTCTCACATCAGACGCGAAGGAAACCGGAGCTAGCATACCCTTGATGATAATCAAAACATCAATTCAAGTTGACTTGTGGAATAAACAAACAGAAAAAAAAACAAGTTTATTGTAAACGGTAAACTAAGTTTTTTAAAGTAACAATTTAGATTAGACAATAATGACTTCAACAATCTTGAAATGTTGGTCTAAGTTTAAATGATGACTACAAAATATTAAATGAAAGGTGTTTTCTGCAGTGGAGTCGTGGGGCTGGATGGACTGGATGCTGCCAACCTTACTGGTGTGGCTGGTGAACGGTGTTCTGGTGTCGGGGGTTCTGGTCCGACTGCTGGTGTATGGAGAGCCTGTCACCAGACCACACTCTGGATCCTCTGTGTTGTTCTGGAGGCACCGCAAGCAGGCTGACCTGGACCTGGCTAGAGTATGTTTACTTTTACTCAATACACACAGATAAAACGTTTTGAAGAAACATTACATTCCAAAGGATAGCTCTACATGCCAGCACTCTTCCTGAGGAGTTTCATTTAATCTCTTCTTATTTCTTCCTCCCCAGGGAGATTTCGCCCAGGCCAGTCAGAACCTGTGGACGTGTCTAAAAGCTCTTGGTCGTCCCTTACCCATCTCCCAGTTGGACCTAGCCTGTTCTGCGCTCTGGTCCCTGCTAAGGTTCTGCCTCCAGCGCCTCTGGGTGGGCCGCTGGTTGGCTGCCAGGGCAGGAGGGCTGCGGTCTGACCGCCCCCTGAAGGAGGACGCCTGCAAAAGCAGCCGGGACGCCGCCCTGGTTTACCATCGCCTGCACCAGCTTCACATGACAGGTGGGTTGGTGGGAAAACACTGTTTCTAAATTAAATTGGTGTGGGAGACTGCAAACTATCTGGTGGCTAATTGTAGTGGCAGAATATGGCCTTTTCCTGATTCTTCTACCACTGTTGTGTGTGTATATATATATATATGTATATATATTCAAAACATATACATATCATTTTCTTGTCTTTTTTCTGTGCGTACAGGCAAGCTGAATGGCAGCCACCTGTCAGCAGTGCACATGGCTCTGAGTGCAGTGAACCTGGCAGAGTGTGCTGGCTCCTGTCTGCCTGTAGCCAGTCTGGCTGAGGTCTACGTGTCCGCAGCTCTACGGGTCAAAGCCAGCATGCCAAGGATCCTGCATTTTACTTCTGTAAGTCCCCTTAGTTTGCACATGCACAAAGCCAATTGCTACGTTTGACATATATCATTGAATATTTTATACTTGGATGCCGTCAGAATGACGCTTTTGCACATTATTCTGTTTAGAGTTCAAATAGTATTCACTTAACAGCAAGTAGTTTAGAGGTTATGTTTGGCTCGTGTTTAATTAACATGACCTTGGGACCTGAGGAAACATAATTTGTGACCTATAAGCTGTGTTGTTCTCTACATAATCAATTTATGTTAGAATTGAAAGTGAACTTAACTTTGTTTTTTAATCCCAATAGCGTGTTTTCCTGAGCAGCGCCCGCCAGGCGTGCCTGTCGTCCAGTGGCAGCGTTCCTCCAGCTATGCAGTGGCTGTGTCACCCTCTAGGTCATCGCTTCTTTGTGGATGGGGATTGGGCTATTCGCAGCACTCCTAAAGAAAGCATCTACAGCCAGGCGGGCAATACTGGTCAGTGCAGACAAAAATGTAGTACAGACTCCATGTGGCCTTGACCTCTGTTTTGAACACGCACACAGTTGTATTCCTCATGTTAATGATCTCTTGGTGCTCTCACAGTGGATCCTCTGGCCCAGGTGACTCAGGCTTTCAGGGAACACCTCCTGGAGAAAGCTCTGTACTGTGTGGCTCAGCCTCACGGAGAGAAGAGCCCCAACCAGGGAGAAGGGTGAGAAAATAACAGTTTTTAATAGTGTTTGCCAAACTGAAATGTGTATACCATAACATTTGGACAATAAACAAAGGATAGCATAACTAAAAAATGAACTGGTGGTAATATTTGTGGTGGAGAATAACCATTCAGTGTGTTTCCCTCCTCAGGGAGTATGCTGATGCCCTGGAGTATCTCCAGCTGTTGATAAGTGCATCAGATGCTGCTGGAGCCACCTCCCAGTCCTTTGCCATCGGCTCCAACATGGCCACTGTGACCGGTAAGTGCCTGTCCTTTTATTTACACGAGGAGACGCAAACCAAGCACTTTAAAGACACTGACTAAAAACATATTTTTAAACCATGGCAACCAAACTCTTACTGACTAAGACTGCTTCTGTTACATTGAGTTTTCTATTAGGGCTCCTTCCTTCATTACTACTTTTCTATCAGAGATAATTGAATTTGCCTTTACAGCATCCTTCAGTCACCTTCCCCTGACTGTTTGATTTTCCTAATGTGCTTGCAAAATAATAAGTGGATGGATAAAGTTAATTCTTACACTATCAAGATTGAGTAACCTCATTTCCACTTGGTTGAATTGCGCACTCCCTCCATGTTCCTTTGTCCTCAATGATCACACATCTGAGCGAAAGTGGACTCGGTGAAAGGGAGGCATCCACTAGATTGCTTCATCTATCTTCAGTGCTGTCAAATCTGTGATCACCTTGAGAGGAGGGAAGGAGGGAGGGAGGGAGCAGGGATTTTATTAGGAGACTTTTCTTGGCAGAGTTTCAGGTTGCTCACAGTGTCAGAAGTTTGTTCGTGTTGCCCAAATGTTAAATGGAGTCATTTTCCCAAATGAGGGAGTCGTCAAAATGGCAGATTTCTCTCCGCATGTTGTGATTACGCCAGAGGGGTGAAACGGATTGATTCAGAGGTCAAAATACAGACAGCAGCTGTCCGTGTGTGTGTGTGTGTGTGCCCGCACTCTAATTCATGTTAAATGTGAAAGTGGGCAATGGGGGATTCAAATACTTGCATTTGTTTGTTTGTCTGTGGGTGTCTCGCTTTTCACCGTTTTTGTTCCAACTTCCAGGCTGCGACCCCCACTCCAAGTGGTGGTCCTCGGTTACCGTGGTGATTATCAATTGGCTCCAAGGAGATGACGCCGCAGCAGAGAGACTGTACCCAACTGTTGAGCACCTGCCGCGCAGCCTGCAGAACGCAGAGTGAGTTTGACATGAGCGCACAGGAACTTCCCCTGCCAGCCTAAGAGTGTGGCACAGGTTTTTTCCACAGAGAACACATACACACAATTCCTCTTCTTTAACCTGTGTCCTCTGTCTCTCTGATCCCTCGCTCTGTCAGGAGTCTTCTGCCCAAGGCGTGTCTGAACACATTCAGGGCGGTGCGGGCTCTGCTGTCCAAACCTGAAAACTGCCAGCTGAGTCTAAGCTACAGCGACAAGGCCAGCGCTCTGCTTCGAGACAGCCTCAACCTCGGACCCCACTGCCACAGCTCCAGTTTAGACAAGGTACACACACACACACACACACACACACACACACACACACACACACTATCACACACAGGCACTCTTCTCATTATATTTTTGTTTTATGAGGGCAACCACATTTGCATTAGAAATACAAAAAAATGCAAACACACAAATGCACAGAGTGACAGATGTGCCAAAACATGTGCGTGCATACATTGTAAACAGAGAAAATTGCCCCTACATAATTACTTAGTACTTAGTACACACACACATTTCACAATACAACGCCACACAGTTTCCCACAGAGTGTGAATCCCCCTGCAGCAGCTCCTCTGTGATAGGGTGGTGGTCTCCCCTCTGGCGCTCAGCAGATGGTGATGCCGGTGGATAGGTAGCTCACAGTGTGTGCACGTCTGCGGCCTGAGCTGTGGTGCATTGTAGTTGCATTGCATGTGTGTCTCAGCGGAGTGCAATGTTCCTGCAGTGCAACACAGAGCTGGCCCACTAACAGCAGAACACACACACACACACACACACACACACACACACACACACACACACACACACACACACACACACACACACACACACACACATGTATGAGTCACCATCCCTCCTCCTCATTTATCTCCCTTCATCTCTTTCCAGTTGTTCCTTCATGAAGCTACAGCCA